TTCTTCTGTCATCCATAGTGACAGTTTCAAACCTTGGCTCCCATTTCTCTGCCTAATGCCATCCCTTCTCAGCATTTAACCTCTTTTTTTCCTCTAAGAAATTGAAATATTGTTGAGTGCCCATTATGAACAAGACCCCTGGTACATAAATAAAAGTAAACAGTCTTTTCTTCACATTTAGTATTTATGCTTGCCACATGTAGTAAGTAAAAAGAAAAATGGTTCTGCAAGGTTGGTAAGAAAAAACAGTAATCACCTGGCTTACCCCTCTGAAGCTGGAATTCTGGCTGCTCGGAAGCACTCATTTCAATGCCTTTAAGTCTTTTGGTATTCTCCCCATGTTTCTAAGTAACATTTGATACTGATTTTTTTTTTTTTAATTTTCAGTTTTAGCTATTTATCTAATGACTTGTTACCATGAAATATAAGGGTTTTACTCTTTTACATACAATTTCCATCCCCTCATCCTGCCAGGATTGTATATCTTAATTTTTGGTTAGATCAGTATTTCATATTTACATCATTAAGATGGTAGATATTATTCACATCTGAGACACATAGTCTAATGGTAAGCATATTTCTTACATAATTTTTTTGTTTTCCTGGGAATTAATAATTATCTCATTTTCATTTACTTTTTAAAAATGTACCTACCACTGATTCTTCCCAAACTCTCTGACCCAAGTGTAAGTCTTCTCTGTGTGTTCAGACGTATCAGGTAATTTATTTATTTTTTTTCTTTTTTGTGAAGATGTCTTTAGTGGAACTTGTCATTCTCGAATAAGGATAAGCAACGCTGTAGGCTAGCTGGAGAGCTGCCATTTTGGGAACTCCCTTCACCAGTATTCTAGAGTTTCTTATGCTTTTCTCCTTTTTGTCTTTGTATTCTGTCATATTCTTTATTAGTTTATTTCTTCATTTTTGGTAGAACATACTTTTGAGATCTTCTATGTCTAAAATAACCATAGTCTCTTTTTATGTCAGATTGAGAGTTTTATCAGCTGTATAATTCTGCTTTCAAAGTAAATTTTATACTGGATGTTTTTAGTTAAATATGAATCTTTTAGGCTTTAGCATCTGATAATGATAGACTGGTTAATTTTGACCAGCCCACCCACTGAGAATAACTAGGTAAGTTAGATTAAAAAAAAAAAAAAAAAAGTCTGCTTGAAGTAGAGTGCTAAACAAGCCGGTGAAGAATTTACCAGGCCAGGATCTGGGCTAAACCAGAGGTTGAGGCAGGAGCCCAGGGTTGGGGCAGTTATTAGCTGGACCTAGAGAAGGTAGCTCAGAGGGTAGAGACTGAATGGGGTTTTTGATAACTTCAAGGAGCTAAGAGAATAAAAGATTTGGTGTCCAAAGCAGCTATGTACCCCTCCTTACTGTGGGTTGGGACCTCAAAAGGCAGCACCTTAGGAGGAAGGATGGGCTGGATATAAAACAGACCCTCTTGAAATTGTCACTCAGCCACAGACATTTAGATCTCTGAAACAGTTTAAGGTGACCCTAGAGTGCTTCTGTCCCTAGGCATCTCCAAAGTTCTAAGCCTTCCAGGAACCTGGAAGAAGCAAACTTAATTTTTTTCCAGAGGGAAAAAAAACCCACTGTTCTGGGGCTTGAATTATTTCTTCAAATAATTTTTGCAAATACAGTGCCTGATACCCACTCAGAAAGTGACCCCTGACACACAAGAAGAGAAGCAACAAAAATGCGAAAAAGCAGAAGCGACAGAAGATAGACACAGATACATGGCAAATCTAGATATTGGGCAAATACCATGCTCCAACTTTGCAATAGCTGTGTTCACTATGGTCAGGGAGGTAAAAGATAAGATTGAGCACTTCAAGAAAGAATTGAAAACTATATAAAAAATGAAATGAGGGGAAATTATAATATTGAAAAGTAAAATAAATTAAGGCCTTAAAGATTAAGAGATAATTAAGAGAGCTTGGATATAGGACAGAAGAAAATGTTTAGAATAAAGCACGGGCAAATGATGGAAAATATAGAGGGAAGATAAGAGAAAGAGGATGCAGTGAGAAAGTTTAATATGAGTATTTTTGGAATCCCTGGAGGAGAAGAAAAGAGTATGAATGAGCAGAAGCAATATTTGAAGATAAATTAACCAAATGTGAGGAAGGCCATGTATTTATGAAGTCAGAGAATCTCAAGCAAGATAATAAAAAGGTTAGTAAAAAAATATTTACCTATGTTGAAAGCTAAAGACAAAGAGGAAGTCTGAAAGCAGTCAGAGAAAAAAAGAAAGATTATTTAACAAGAAAAAAAGATTATCTATAAACAGCTCTGAACAGCTGATTTGTCAGCTAAAACAGTGAAAGCTGGAAGACGATAGAGTGATCCTTACAAAGAAATGACTGTTCTCCCTTGCCAAACCAAAATCTGTATCCAGAGTGAAGATGACATAAAGATATTTCAAATCAATAAAAATTGAGAGAATTTGTCATTGACCAGCGCCAAGGAAATACTAAATGTTCTTCAGGCAGATGGAAAATGATCTCAGTTGGAGTTGAGCAGATAAGGAAGAAATGAAAGACAACAGTAAATATGTGGGTAAATCTAAATGAACAGTGACTGTATGTAACAACAGTAGCCTTTTCAGTTTTACATATATGTGTAATTATGATGGCATTTAAGTCTGGTTGGGGGATAAATGGAATTAAAATATTTCTGTAGTCCTTGGGTTGCCTGGGCATTGGTAAAATGACTAACACTGGATTTGTTGTTTTAATCTCGAGAGAACTATTAAAAGTATATATTGATATATTAATAGAGTATATATTTTCCAAGCTACTAGAGAGAGAATAATGAAATGATCAGAAGTTACCATTTCCAAAGAAGGCAGGAAAGGAGAGAAAAAGGATCATAGTGCTTATTAAGTACACATTGTACTTAATAAATGATAGATTTAAGGTTTCTCCTGCTATCTGAAGGTTCACCTTACACCACTTCTGCTTTTCAAAAGACTTAAGTTAGTACCTGTCTTTGCTAACTGAAAAAGCTGAAGAGGGTTTTTACTTTTATGAAGTGATCATTGCTTCTTTGCTTTATGCCATCTTGGCTTGTGAACACAGGTTTCATAGGAAGGCTTTCAGATAGTGGGGGGATCCTTGCAGGTCCATTAAATGTAATTGCATAAAATGGCCTAATTAAAAGATACAAATTGTCCAACTGGATACAAATAATTAAACTCAATTATTTGGTGTTTATAAAGATGCAGCAAAATTGAATTGTTCTTAAAAGAATTTTGTTTCTGTTTTTTTTAATTAAGATAAAACATTATATTGATTTCAGGTGTACAATGTAACGATTCAGTAGTTATATATATTCTGAAGTGATCACCACGATAAGTCTAGCTGACATGTGTCACCATACGTGCTTACAAAATTTTTGTGTTTGTGATGAGAACTTTTTTCCCCCAAATATTTAGATGCCTCTATTTTCTCCTTTATTGATACTGCCTATTAGGATATGAATCTCTGAGGCATTTGGTGATCAGTATTTTTATCTTATTTTATTTTAAATTAATACATACAATATTATATTAGTTGTAGGTATACAACATAACGATCTACACATTACAAAATGCTCACCATGATAAGTGTAGTTACCATTTGTCACCATACAAAGTTATTATAGTATTATTGACTATATTCTGTATGCTGTACTTTTCATCCTTCTGGTTTATTTTATAATTGTAAGTTTGTAGCTCTTAATTCCCTTCGCCGATTTTGCCCATCCCCCTGCCTTCCTCACCTGGCAACTACCAGTTCTCTATATTTATGAATTTGTTTATTTGTTTTGTTTTGTTTTTTAGATTCCACATATAAATGGGTGATGAGAACTTTTAAGATATAATTGTTTTGTTTGCTTTTTTTTTTTATTGTTTATTTATTTTTGAAAGAGGGAGAGAGAGAAAAAGCACAAGTGGGGTAGGGGCAGAGAAAGGGAGAGAGAATCCCAAGCAGGCTCCGTGCTTTCAGCGTGGAGCCCGATGTGGGGCTCAGACCCACGAACCATGAGAACATGATCTGAGCTGAAGTTGGATGCTTAACCAACTAAGCCACCCAGGCACCCCTGTTTACTTTGTTTTTTAACTTACTATATTGTGATTATTACCTCCTGTTCCCCATTCTCCCTCTCCCTCCTCACTAATTAATAGATGAAATTCTAACTGGTTATGGAGAGATGTAGAGAGAGACTGATGGGTATTGATGGAGGTGAGGGCTGATAACTAGCTGTGGCTGGTATCAAGCCATTGAAAAATGGTTGGGATAATGCCCTTACTCTGGTTGCTGGAACTGATTTCTTTGAAGTGGGGTAAATGGTAAAGCAGGTTCAAGCCTCCTACTGTCTTTCCATCTAACATGACTATTCTGCACTTTGATTTCTATAACTTTTTCTTGAAGTCTTACTGATTTTTGTTCAATATTCTTAGTTTCCAAGGTTTTTACAACCTTGTATCTCTTAATTTTTTCATGAGTTTTTTTTAAATAAAAGATGTTGGGGAGAATAAGTCAAACAGAGCAAGTTTTCATGTAAATCTAGAAATTTTAGAAAGGTTCTGTTTTCCATTTTTTGTCAGCGTTATGGATTTTTAAGTAATTAGATGTTTGATTTCCTGAGAAGTGGGGTATTACCATATACATTTGAGAACTTGTTTTTACGGGTAAGTGCAAAGGTTATTTCCTGTTTTAAGGTTTCAAGGATATTTCTTTTTTTTAATTTTTTTTCGCTTATTTATTTTTGAGAGAGACAGAGCGTTGAACGGGGGAGGGAGCAGAGAGAGAGGAGACACAGAATCGGAACAGCTCCTGCAGCTCCCTGGAGCCATCAGCTCAGAGTCTCAGGCCCGAACTCTACGGACCATGATCAGGACTCTGGCTGAAGTCGGACGCTTAACCGACTGCGCCACCCAGGCGCCCCTCAAGGATATTGTTTCAATGCCAATAATGAAAAATACTACACCTTTTGGCTTCTAGGTTGTAATGTTGCGTCAACAAGTAGAAGAACATGAAAAAGTTAAACAAGAGATGGCCATGGACTATAAGCAGGAGTTAAAGAAACTACATGAAGAAGTAAGATTTTAATTATATTATATGTTGCATAATTCTCTCTTTAACCCTTAGAATTTTGTTAACGGGCCTGTTTGGACTTCATAAAACGAGAAGTGTATATATTCTCTGGGAGGTATAGGGTTAGAAATTTATTTCTTTGTTTTTAAATTCAGGCATAGAGTCTTGTCTAATTATATGTTTGGTGCTATCTAAACAGGGATTCTAAAATGTGTTTCTCAGTTGAGTACCTGAAAGAAATAAAGCCGTTTTTGTATAATACTATAAAATATTGATACCAAGAACTTACGTAAAAAATTTTAATGTTTGAGTTAAATCAGCTAGATTTTAAATAATGGAGAATCCAAAGTTTTCAAAGCATTTTGGGATAAATAAGAAAAGTAAAAATTGTAGCAACTCAATGTTGCTAATTAACTCAATGTTGAGTTAAATCAGCTAGATTTTAAATAATGAAGAATCCAAAGTTTTCAAAAGCATTTTGGGATAAATAACAAAAGTAAAAATTGTAGCAACTCAATGTTATTCTCCAGATTAGGAAAAAACAACAACAACCTGCTTTTATCTTTATTTAGTTCCAAAGCATTCCTCTCCTGCTTACTGAGTATCAGTGTTCCACAGGAGAATGACTCAAGAACCACAGGTCTAGAGAAAAGAAAAAAGAATTTTTATTTACTGCTTTTATCATGGGTGTGGTTTATGGGGTCCTTAAGTGCAAGGCTATTGTAATAAAAATTAAAGTTTTGTTTAAAAAATATTTTTCCCTTGATTTTTTCTTTGATGCAATATCTTTCTGTTCTAGTGTTTATTTTTTATATGCAAGTTTGAGTCATTTGTATTTAATTTGCAAATCTAACACGCTCAGTCTATTTTCAATAGTCCTGTTTAGCACTGCTCTTGCTTTCATAATACCAATTTGTTCCACCATGACTGTTTACAAATTCTTAAATTTTAAGTCTAGAAATAACTGTGTCTACAGTTAGGCAGACTGAAAAGAAGCTATGAAAGACTACAGAAAAAGCATATAAGAGACTTCAGAGGAAACACCAAAAATCACAGGGAAGATCGATCTGAAATTGAGAGGTTAACTGGAAAAATAGAGGTATGTTCATGGTAATAATTTCTTCATAGTGGTTGGCAGACTTCCTGTAGGAAGGTGCTCTTTCTAGAAATGGTACTAGTTCTGAACCTTGTTTTCTGCCGTCTCCAGGACTGGCGTGGAGCTATTTCAGAGGTACATCCTGTCATCACCTGGTCTTCTGTGGTTAATGGGGTTATTACCTATCAGTAGTTTCCAGTGGGGCACTACCACCCTTTGAGGGCATTTGGAAATGTACAGACACATTACTTTAGTTGTCCAAATGACTGGGAGTGAAGCTGGTGTTCAGGGGACAGGGACTAGGGATTCTAAACATGCCCAGGGCCACACTACACAGGAAGGGTTACTGTCCCCAAAATGCCAATATTGAGAAACATTGACCACCAGTCACTACCAGTCCTCCATGGGCAGTGTCCTTGTCTTATTTAGAATAGGGGTTAGTAAATGTTGAAAGTACTTGGCTTTTTGTACAGAGTACTGTGCATATCAGATTGCTTATCCTCAGTTCCCATTTAGATGTAGTAAGCCATTTACTCCCTTCTTTGCTAACTTTCTTTTTATTAAGGCAGAGTAACTCTGGTTATTGTGTATGTTGATTCCCAGAGGACCTAAGGGAGGTGGTGAGTTAACACTGCCAAGAGTGAAGGAAGAAACAGCATGAGGCTGTCACTCTTTTCCGTGGTATCTGCCTCTCCCCTCCTCTGTCTATGCCATTGGTCCTCCAATGTACCAAGAATCACCAGAGTCCTCTTTAGGCTGTCAGAGATTCTGCTCCAGTAGTATGATGTGGGGCCTAGGAATCTGCATTTTATCTAGCTCCCCTGGGTGTTTGTAATTTGAGAAGTATTGTTCAACATCTCTCTATGATTAGTTACAATTTTCTCAGAGCATCTGTCACCCACAAATACCATTATTACTATTTAGAATTGTAATTTCTATATTTAGTGTTCTTTTACATCATAATATTTTTATACATTCGAGGAGCCTAGACTCAGAGGACTATGCAGATACTGCTTCCTTTCTAGGCATCTTCAGCGATACCTGAGGTTTTTCTCCCCAGACTCCTCATCTTCCTCTTGTTCCTCATTACCACTTCCTGACCATTCTCTTTTCTACCTTAAGACCCCATCTTTGATCTTCATGTCTTCAGCCTGTATCCCCTACCAATATACATACAACCAAAGTCGTCATCTTCTGATCCTTGGGTTATTTCCCTAGCTTAGAGGTTTCAGCTTCCAGGACACTGTCACTGTCTCCAACAATACACTTACCATAATTCTTAAAGGTTTCAGTATCTACAAGGATGATACTTATATGACTCTGGTCTTTGAATTCCTTGTTGTTCTTTCCTCCATGGACAAATTGATCTCCTCCTTATCTCATCCACCCATTCCCGCTACTGTTCCTTAGGTATCGTCATGACCAAACTTGCAACCCTCCTGGAATCACATTTTTAAGCATTTCATTCTTTGACTACCATCCTTCTCTTTTTAGCTCACTTCCTCTAGTCCCTTGACTCTCAATAGTCACTTGATTCCATCCCCAAGTGATTGAACTCTGCCACCTTTTCACTGCTGCATACCTATCTCATGCCTTCATGTGTCAGTCATTACCCAGCTTCAATTCCATGGTAACATTCCTTATATTCCCCTTCAGCTCCTGTGTCCCTCTCTTACTTCATCATATTTGCTTGGCAAAACCATAACTCTAGTTAAATCCAGCTTTCTGCCCAGTCTCTACTTGCCATGTGTGGTAGACCGTGGCTGGAGAAAAACATAATCATGCTGACTGGCCTCATTTTAAATTCATGGTCACTTCCTCAAATAAGTCCCAATGCTACCCAGAAACATACTATATTTCCCTTCACTCTGCTACTTTCCATAATGACTATTTCATACTTTCTCTTTTCTCAAACTTTCGACACTTTTTTCCACATTCTTATATTTGGGTGATGATCTTGCTTTCCATTTCATTGAGAAAATAGAAGCAATAAGAAGAGATTTTCACAGACTTCTGACACTATATCTTCCCACCTATTTGCATCTGTGCCCATATACTTTGCCTTCTTGCTGGTGGAACTGCCCATACTCTCCCCGATCCTTACCCAAGACATGGCTCCAGCGATTCTTCTCTCTTCTTCATCCTCCCTTCCTTCATACTGGATATTTCCAACACCATCCAGATTTCTCCCCTCTTAAATCCTCTTTTGACCTCTCTTTCTCTGGATGCTGCCCCATTTTTTTCTTCATTTTTTAAAAATGTTTGTTTTTGAGAGAGAGGGCAAGCAGGGTAGGGGCAGAGACAGAGGGAGACACAGAATCTGAAGCAGGCTTCAGGCTCTGAGCTGTAAGCACAGAGCCCAACGCGGGGCTCGAACTTTTGAAATCATCTGTGACCTGAGCTGAAATCAGATGCTTAACTGACTGAGCCACCCAGGCACCCATTTTCCTTCATTTTATAACTAAACTACTTTAGGCATCTGTACTGGTCTCCAGTTCCTCATTGTCCATTTTTCTTGCACTCGCTCAATAAGGCTTTTGCCCCCTCAACTCTGCAGAAGCTATTTACTTGGAGGTCACCAATGACTTGTACCTGAAAATAGTTCCTTGATTTGACTTAGAGAACAGCCATACTTTCCTGGGCTTTCTCCTACCTTGTTAACCAGTCCTCTCAATCTCTTTTGATCCCCAACCTTTTACCATTGGAATACCCTAGGGTAGTGTCATTGGACCTCTTCTTTTTTCTATCCATGCTCCCTCCCTTGGTGATATCATCCAGTCTTGTAGTTTTTAGCACTGTATATATGTTGATAATTCCCACTTTTATATATCCAGCCTTAACCTGTCCTTTTTGCTACAGAATAATTTTTCCAACTGCCTGTTTCAGCTGTTTCACATCTCCACCTTGATACCTAAAGCTGTGTCACACTTCATACTGGTTTTCTCTTCCCCATCTACCAACACCATTCCTGTTTCAGTTAATGGCAACTCCATTCCTCAACTTCTCAAGCCTAAAACCTTGGAGTCACCCTCGACTTCTCTTTTCTCCACACAGCCAGAATGATTCTGTTGTAATTATGTCAAATCATGTCCTCTCCTCTACAAAAAACCTTCTAGTAGCTTCTCTCAAAAGCTGAAGTGATCCTGATGACCTACACAGTCTTGCTCCTTGTTAACTGACCTTTCTCTACCTACTTTTCCTTTTACTCCATTCAAGCCATACCTCGTTGCTTGCCCTTAAACATACCAGGACATTTCTACCAGTTCAACCTTTGTACTTGTCTTTCCATCTTCCCAGAATAGTATGACTTCATCCCTATCTCCCTGGGAATTTAAATGTTACTCAGTGTCGCCATCCTTTTTTTAAAATTGCAACTCCCAACTCTGAGCACTGTGTGCTCCATTTTCTCTAAAATAGGTATTATCATGTAATGTATTATACAGTGAATGTGTTGTCTATTGCCAATTCAATGGGTCTAGGATTTTGTTTGTTTTTGTTAACTGTTGTATCCCCAATCCCTAGAATAGCCCCTGGCATATATAGGAGAATGAATGAATGAGTGAATGAATGATTATCAGAAAGCTGGTTAACTGTGATTACCCCCAAGTTAGCATGAGACTTCTGGAGTTGAGGGTCCTAGATAACAGTGATAGAAATCCCTTTGATTTTCATAATTCATAATTTCATATTTTATATGATCATAAATCATATTTTCATAATCATATTTTCATAAATATTGGGCTCATCTTCTTTGTTGTTCATGCAACTTGTAGTGACCCATCATTAATTTTGACTGTTCCACTTTGGGTTACAAATATCTGTTAAAATTTAGTACAGATCTCCCATTGTTATTCAAGTTCTTGCAGTTCTGTTGAGATGGTAAAAATCTGTATATCAAAGGGTATTCTGCTTTAGGAATCTATTTGGTTCCTGAATTTCAGATACTGTGAAGAATTGGGCTACAGAGGGACTCGCCTGAAAATTTATTTGATCTGTTCAGTTTCTGTGTTTGGATATCAAGAATTGGTAGCAGGATCTTCTCATAATCATATTTTGAAATTTTAGTTCTCTTCAGATCAGTTTTCTGAGGAACATCACAAAAAATGATAACAACCTTTAGGTGGCAGCAAATCTGTGAAAACCATCGTGGACCCAGTATTCAGCATCTGTGCTTCATACTCTTCACCATTAGGGTGTTAAATTTAGAGAGACAGATCTCCAGAGGCTCAGTATGTCAGGAATTTAGTGTTGCTCTCCAGTTCTATCAGCTAAGTGAGTAATGGAGCTCCTGCTGGGGAGTAAGGTGTGTGTATACCCAGGGACGAGGGGAAAAATTAAAGTAAGAATGAATCTGGGAAGCATGACAGTAAGGAGAAGCACTTAGAAGTTAAGTACCTTAATTGCCTCTTCAGGAATTTCGTCAGAAATCACTGGACTGGGAGAAGCAACGCCTGATTTATCAGCAACAGGTATCTTCTCTGGAAGCACAGAGGAAGGCTTTGGCAGAACAATCAGAGATAATTCAGGTAGGTTTAAACCATTTTAAAAAAAGAGGCGGAGAAGTCTTGATGACATTGGCACTAGCTGAACGCAGTACATGGGTGCTCTCTCATATCTGCTCACGTCTTTGTGCCACATGCTCCTTTGCCTGCTCCCTCCCTCCCTTGTGCTCTCTTGCCCTCTCACTCTGTGGCTGTCTGGTTCTCCTGCTCACTACATGCTCACGTTCACGTCATTCTCCTAATCTTGGTCTTCCCTTTTTCTCCCCCTCTGTCCTTCCCCTTCTCCCTCTCTCTACCTCTGTTCTTTCTGTTTTCTTTTCCATTTCTTTGGTGTTTGGCTGTTTCTGGCTCTTGCCTTGGCTCCACTTCTGTGTCTCGCTCGGTTTCTGATAGCTGGGGTACCTTGGCTGAGATGCCTCCGCCAGGGAGCCTCAGATCGGCTGCTGTTTGCATACAGATACTAAGAGATTCATACTGCACTGATGTGCATACCAACTAAAAGTATCTTTGTGGTGACAGATACTTTTTAGAACTGTAGGAAAAACCTTTTTTTAAATGAACTGGTGGCTTAAGCAGAACTAAAAAATTGCTACCTAATTTGGGGATATTGCTTCTTAGAATACACTCATTTTGTATGCTTTTCCAATTAAAAACCAAGAACATAAAAGGAAATGAACATAGAGGGGAGTAAATATTTGTGACCATTCATTGTGTGCCAGACAGAGTCTCAGTGCTTCTTCTAGAAGCAGTTATCTGGAATATATTGTTCTGTGTTATCTCTTTCATTTGATAATCTGTCAAGGTTGGTAGTTATCTCCATCTTACAGAATAAGGGAATTACTGGAGAAATTACAAGAGCTGAAGGAAAACCTTAAAAAAATATATTAAAAAAAAAGTCTGCATTATTTTCTACTTTAAGTCTCAGTAATGTTTTGGCTTTTAATCATTCCCCTGAAATAACAGCTGGCTGATAAAGTACCATGAATGCTGTGCTGTGAGTAACTCTCGTCAGGTGGCACGAGGGGCCTCCAGCAACCTCAAGGAGGAAAATTATTTACTAGGCTGCAGCAAGCTATGCAGTCAGAGTGGGCCAATAAAATCCTGGATGTCTAGACCAGAGTTTTTTTTTACCTGAATGCTAAAGCACTGTGCAAACATAAATAGTTATAAGATATTAAATTCTTTTTTTTTTTTAATGTTTATTTATTTTTGAGGGAGACAGAGCTCCTCCAGGGGAGGAGCAGAGAGATAGGGAGACACAGAATCAGAAGAGCCTCCAGGCTCCGAGCTGGCAGCACAGAGCCTGACACAGGGCTCGAACCCACAAACTGCGAGATCATGACCTGAGCTGAAGTTGGACATTTAACCGACTGAGCCACCCGGGTGCCCCTATTATATTCTAATTGTAACCTTCAAGTTGAAAAAAAAAAAAAAAGAATCACGTCCTACTTTTTAGTTCTCAATTACTCATCTGTGGAGTGTGCTTACTATTGATTGCAAATCCTTTTTTCAAATTACTATTGTGATTACTCTGCATAATTAAACCTCATTGTTGGTAAAAGTGAGATTTTTATTTACCGTAATTCAGCTAGGCTAGAAGAAGAAGCCTTTAAAAAGCCAGCACTGGGGTGCCTGGGTGGTGCAGTCGGTTAAGCGTCCGACTTCAGCCAGGTCACGATCTCACGGTCCGTGAGTTCGAGCCCCGCGTCAGGCTCTGGGCTGATGGCTCAGAGCCTGGAGCCTGTTTCCGATTCTGTGCCTCCCTCTCTCTCTGCCCCTCCCCCATTCATGCTCTGTCTCTCTCTGTCCCAAAAATAAATAAATGTTGAAAAAAAAAAAAAAAGCCAGCACTTCTTTTCCCTACTAAGGGTGTTTGAATTATTCTTCTGATACTCTGCCTGCTTAACTCAAAAAATGTTACTGATAATATATTTCTCTTTCTTCCTTAGCAAGCTAAACAAAATTAAATCTTCATGTGATTCAGGAGCATCATTAAAAAAAAAGAAAAAAACTTTTAAATGAATTTCTGTATAGTTGTTACCCAACATTAGATGGTTACCATCATTTTGCCAGTCTTTTTTTTTTAATTGTGGTAGAAAACACTTTAAAATTTACCATGTTAATGATTTTAAAGGGTATGGTATAGTAATGTTAACTATATGCATAGAGTTGTGTAACAGGTCTCTAAAACTTTTCTCACTTACAAAATTAGGCTCTGTACCCATTGAACAACAGCTCATTTTGCTGGTCTTATTTCATCCTTCTCTACTTTTTTAAAAAATTTTTTTTTTTTTTTTTTCAACGTTTATTTATTTTTGGGACAGAGAGAGACAGAGCATGAACGGGGGAGGGGCAGAGAGAGAGGGAGACACAGAATCGGAAACAGGCTCCAGGCTCTGAGCCATCAGCCCAGAGCCTGACGCGGGGCTCGAACTCACGGACCGCGAGATCGTGACCTGGCTGAAGTCGGACGCCCAACCGACTGCGCCACCCAGGCGCCCCATCATCCTTCTCTACTTTTTTATCTTTGGCTGGAATATTGCAAAGCAAATTACAGAAATTGTCATATTTCCCCACAGATAAGGACTTTAAAAAATTATAATATACTAGTACTACATAGTACTAGTTGTACTATAATATACTATGTATATGTACTGTGTAGTATAATATATATACTATGTATATGTACTATGTACATAGTACTAGTTGTAGTATAATATACTATGTATATGTACTATGTAGTATAATATACTAGTACTACATAGTACTAGACTACCCGGTTGTCTGAAGTTATGTCTTTTTACAGTTGGATGTTTAAATTGGAATCCAGTCAAGGTTGACACATTACATTTTGGCGATATGTGAATCACCATTGAACAATAAAGGGAGAAAATCTGGGTGATTGGATAAATGGATATCACACCTACACTTCCCCAAGTTTTTAAAAACTCTTGATGTAGACTTTTTTCTTATCCATTTTTTAACATTTAAAAGTGGAGTTCATAGTAACTTCTCAATCTTTGAGTCATTTATTTGTTCAAGTTCTTTCTTCTGGTCAGCTATTAAAGTTACATAATACATGTTCATTTTAGAAAAATGAGAAAATGTGGATGACATGAGAAGTAAATAAAATAACCCATAATTCTGTCCTTTAGAGAGTTAGTTACCATGATTTACATGTTGTTATAAATTTCTTCCAACTTTTACTATGCTTATCTGCAGTTATATACTGCAGTCATGTACCTTTAGTAGGAAAACATTGTTATGTGTGTGTGGGAATATGTATCCTTGGTTTTCAGATTCCACATATAAGTGAAATCATACAGTTTTTGTCTTTCTGTCTGACTTATTTCACTTAGCATAATGGCCTCTAGGTCTATTCATGTTGTCACAGTGGTAAGATTTCATTTTTTTTTTATGACAGAGTAATATTGCATTATAATAGAATATGAATATGTATGCACACACCCCACATCTTCTTTACCTGTTTATCTATTAATGGACACTTAGGTTGTTTCCATGTCTTGGCTGTTACAAGCAGTGCTGCAGTGAACATAAGGGTACATACATCTCTTTGAGTTGATATTTTTGTTTTCTTCAGCTAAAGACCCAGGAGTGGAATTACTGGATCCTATGGCAATTCTATTTTTAATTTTTTGAGGAGCCCTCAGACTTTTTTCTGTAGTGGCTGCACCAATTTATATTCCCACCAGCATTGTATAACGTCTCCCTTTTCTCCACTCAGTAATACTTGTCTTTTTGATACTAGCCACTCTGACAGGTGTAATGTGATACTTCATTATGATTTTGATTTGCATTTCTCTGATGAAGAGTGATGTGTAGCATCTTTTCATGTGCCTGTTGGCCATCTGTATGTCTTTGGAAAAATGACTATTCGATTTTATTTTATTTTATTTTATTTTATTTTATTTTATTTTATTTTATTTATTTTATTTTATTTTATTTATTTTCCTCTGCCCATTTTAAAATTTTTTTTTTTTCAACGTTTATTTATTTTTTGGGACAGAGAGAGACAGAGCATGAATGGGGGAGGGGCAGAGAGAGAGGGAGACACAGAATCGGAAACAGGCTCCAGGCTCTGAGCCATCAGCCCAGAGCCTGACGCGGGGCTCGAACTCACGGACCGTGAGATCGTGACCTGGCTGAAGTCGGACGCTTAACCGCCTGCGCCACCCAGGCATCCTCTGCCCATTTTAAAATCAGGTTTGGTTTTTTGATATTAAGTTGTATAAGTTCTTTATATATTTTGGATTTTAACTCCTTATCATATGTATGACTTGCAAGTATCTTCTCCCATTCAGCAGATTGCCTGTTTGTTTTGTTTATGGTTTCTTTTATTGTGGAAAATGTTTTTAGCTTGATGTAATTCCATTTGTATATTTTAGCTTTTGTTGCCCTTGCCACAGGAGACTGGTCCAACAAAATATTGCTAAGACTGATGTCAGAGCTTACTGCCTGTGTTTTCTTCGAGGAGTTTTATGGTTTCACTTTTTATGTACAAGTCTTTAATCTATTTTGAATTTTTGTACGAAGTGTAAGATAGTGGTCCAGTTTCATTCTTGTGCATGTAGCTGTCTAGTTTTCCCATCATTTGTTGAAGAGACTGTTTTTCCCCTTTGTATGTTCTTGTCTCCTTTGTCATAGATTAATTGACCATATAAGCATGGGTTTGCTTCTGGTTTCTATTCTGTTCCATTGATATATGTGTCTGTTTTCATACTGGTATCTTACTGCATTAGTTACTATAGCTTCGTAGTACAGTTTGAAATTAGGGGCCATGGGGCGCCTGGGTGGCGCAGTCGGTTAAGCGTCCGACTTCAGCCAGGTCACGATCTCGCGGTCCGTGAGTTCGAGCCC